CCCCAAAACCCCAAAACCCCAAAACCCCAAAACCCCTTACTCTAATGTTTTAGTTGAATGAGAAAACATTCGAGCACGATTAAATAAATAATCAATGTGATTGATATGAAGCTTATCCTGCTTCTTCTGCCATAAACTCCTCCTCGCTTAGTTCACCTTCTGCTTGATCATCTTCTTCCTCTTCTTCAATATCAACTAGGGATTATATAAATAAGACTTACATATTCAGTTCTTTTGTTTTTTGAGAAGTTCAGTAAGCTCAAATCCATCTGTCTCTTCATCAAAGACGAGCTCATACTTTGTTTCTGCGGGAAGAGCTGCTGTCCTTTTACAACAGAAAGAGAAATCATTTGGAGGGAACAGAGGGTCAATAGCTATTCTGAATGAATTATCTAGCATTCCAGAAATCACTCTTGTTAGCAATGGGCAGGGAAGTTCTAATCAAGGATTGGTATTTCACTCTATCATGTATACTTTAAAGTCTCTATCAATCATGAAATCGAATCCATATATTTCAAAAGAATTTATTCTTCTGAATGGGTCTATGCGTTATTACAGATCTGTACCTATTTTTCCGTAAACACTTCTGAAAGCATCAGCTACTAAACACCTCATTTGGGGTAGAATGTCTCTGTAAAATCATACATTCTCATCAGGATAATGAGAGTTAAGATACTTTTGGAAATCATGGTATGAAAGTTTATTACCATTTTCATACTTTCCAAAATTATCAGCATGCTTCTGGACTGCGTCATTAGTAAGATGAATGAACACATCATTAGATTTACTTGTGTATTTGGTTGAGCTAGTCCGGATATATCCGTCCTCATAGAAATATCCTTTAAGAAGCCCATTGATGGAAGTCATAGTCCCAAATGCTCTGATATCAAATTTTCTCCCTTTGATCAGAAGAGGCCGGTCAATATACTTCTGTAGTATAAAGGTTCTTCTTTGATTATCTTCAAGTTTAGAGTTTGTATCTTTATTATCTTTTTGAACTTCTTGCTTAGGCCTGCAAGTTCTGATTATATTTTCGACTTCTTGGAGAGATGAGCACACTTGTATTCCATTTCCTCGATTAGTATTCTCTCCTGGTTTCACTATCCACATATTCTTTGGTATTTTGAACTCATCGTCATCGGATTCTTCCTCTTCAGAGTCTGTGTAATACGAAGAGTTGGTCTCTTCTTCAGAACTTGTAGGTTCTGACCTTACGATCTTTTTACCTCTTCTTCCTACTCTATTTCTTCTTTCTTGGAGTCTTTCTTGTGTTCGTTTCCTTTCCTCCTCTTTTCTTCGTCTTAAGAGTTCTTCATTTTTGGTTCTAGTTTTGATTTCTATTTCCATCTCAAGTCTGGACTGAAAGCTTAAGAATTTGGCATATTCAGGATCTGTGAGGCCATTTTCAATATGGAATGTGACTGGAAGAGCATCCCATGGTGATTTATCAATTGATTGATAATACTCAGACATGTTCCAAAACAAAGCTTTCTTATTGCTTAGATGAAAGTTATTTTCCAACCTATTGTAAATTTTGGTCTGAAATAGAACATGAGGACTGGAAGTTGCATCTTCTATATCTGCTTGCTGAGGAGATTCTCCTCCATAACTATCGTCAGTATTTCTTTCACTTAGTACTTGGTTATTTTAAATCGTTCATTTCTTGATTAGTGCACTCATTATTTAGTATCAAGTATAGAGAGATGTTTGTTCTTTCTCCATTGTGTCCAGATAAAGTTTGATTTGAAAAAGTCTTCCCTCTCGTTCATCGACCACCACCATCTTTGCTTAATAACCGATCTTACTAGAATTGAGTTATTCCCTCTCCCAATGTAAAACCTATTCTGATGGAACGAAATTAAGCTTTTTGAGTTGTCTGGTTCTATCTTTCCATTGCTATTGTTAATAACACTGTAGAGGTATCTGAGGATCTTCTCCTTAGAAAATGAAAGAAATTCTCTTGACCTTAAAAAGTTATGGTCGACTATCTGGCTTTTCGGGTACACTATTCCAAGAGTTCTTCCCAAATTTAAGATGGAAGATACGTTGTAGCCATCTTTACTCTTGATCTTAAACGCAAGGTTGATAAACTGATTGATATTTTTTATTGCGATGTTTATAGGGTGGCCATTCAGATGTGTTGAAGGAGTCATAATAGGCTTATTCAACGGAGGTGGGACATACCCAGTACAACCCCCTTTTCCTTCTCAGCATCGCTTTTTAGTCTTATTTTTGGGCTTTGTTCTATTATTCTCTAGCTCTTTTACAGAGTCGACTCTATTTGTGCTTGGCCTTTGTTTAGACTTTTGATTCTCTACTGTCTTTTCTTTATTTGAATATGACTCAGGAGGAATTTTGTTTACTAATTTGTTAGCCTTAAATGATTTTGCTTTCTGCATCACTGGTTTTTCTATTTTCTTGGGACTAGTTGATAAGACTTTAGTCCATCGCTTCTGACTCACATTATATTCCTCAATTGATTTATTTCTCATCTTTTGCTCAATTCTTTCCAAATTATTAGGAACCGGTATTTTTGTTTCCTAAATATTAAAGGTGAGAAAATACCTTCTTTGCCATTTTATCTGAATTATGAGCAGACATTATTTCTGAACAGAGGTTGATAGAAATGTCATCATTGTCTTTGTCATAAGAGGCATCAGAAGGGTTGATGTTATATGTTGTTTCAAACTTATCATTTTCTTCATCATAGTAAATCCCTCCAAATGAGAGGTCCTTCGGTCTTTCTCTTCTTCCTTGACAGTATCTATTATTAGACGATGTTCCTACCTTCTGAGGAAAGTGTTGCCATTTTTCCTGAGGGATTTCTTGTTTTTCTTTTCAGATCAGTACATTCTTGATTTTTGTGAGTGGTATAGTTCTTCACTATTATCAAGGTAGTTTGAATTGCTCAAATCTGTAGTGATTATTCTACAGATCTCTCATTGGCATGAGAACTGAAAGTTGTGTATATCTCCCTATGGGATTTATAATTTGGCCTTACTTTAAAATTTCCCAGACAATATTTTCCTTTCCTGTTCTTATGTCCTTGAGAATGAGGCTGCAAGGATTGTTTTGAGTTGTATTTTATACCTTGTACAGATATTATCTGCTTCTTTTTAGACCTCAATTGGTTCTTTGCTCTAAAATATTCCTAAAAATAATTGGATAGATGTACAAATTTGCTGGATTTGTGAGAGACAGGTTTAGCAGAATTGGAATGTGCTTGATTCTTTCCAGTTCTTGAGTTATACTTTTTAGCCTTAATATAAGACTGCCATTCAGTATTGCCGCATATGCATTTATTTATCTGAGCAATGTTTTGTTTTGCAGTTAGGAGATATCATTTTTTTACTGTTTCATGAATGTTGAGGCGCCCATTCCTTATTGCAGTTGATACAGTATGATTGTTTGCATTTATTTACAAGAAATTTTGAGGGAGAGACTATCCTTCTTGTTAGTAATTGGAGTATAGCAGTATATACAGTGTAATTCTTGACTCCTTAAAGTCTTACTCAAGATCATTGTTATATATTTCTCGTATTGATTTGGATGGATTAAAATCTTTATTTCTCTCTCAAGAAGCTGCTTATTACAGATAGGTCATGAAATTGGGACTGATTTCTTAGATATCCTTTCCACTATCAAATCTCTTAAGCATTCTGGATGGAAAGAATGAGTACAGCTGAGAGGAATTAAGGACTTGGCTTCATCATTTTTGTTTCATATTCCTCAATCTAGTGCTTTATTGTCTGAAAGATAAGATGAAATGTTTACCTAAGAAGTCTTTATGATATTTTCTATTGACTGTTTTAATCTTGATAGCCTTGGAAACTAACTTATCTTTCTTATAGATATGATGTGGGAATTTTTTCTCTTGACTTGATATCTTTTCATCTATTCCTCTCCGTTTCTTGTATTTTTCAATATTTTTGAACATCCCAGACTCTATAAAAATGATGCTGCTAGCAAGATACCTGAGCTGTTAAACTTTTTCTGAAAGGGCTTTTTAGGAACTGTTGAATCTTCTGTAGTAAGATCATTATAGACTTTTTGATCTGGAAGATTGTACTTCGCTTTGTACATTGGTGAAGGCTAAATATTAATCTGGCAAACTACTCTTTCATTACTGGATTTATCATCTTTGTAATTGAATTCGTATGCAATTTTCTTCTTTAAGTAATTATTTCCTTTCTCAATCTGGAATAACGGGAGATTGATCTCTTCTGTATATTGATCCTCCTTCGCTTCAATTGGATAGCATGATGATGTTGTCTTTAACTCTCGAATGTCTCTGACTCAAGTTTTCGGCGTCAGTGCATCTATAATATAAGATTCTTCTAACCTACTTATTTCTTGAGGCTCATGCATTTGGTTTATGATCATTGGATGGTTTTGGTATTTATTCTCTATAAGAGAATTCGACTCTTTTCTACATTTCATTCTATTTAAAGATGTTTGGGGGTTCCTTCGATCATAATTGCCTCTAATCTGGACTGGAAGAATTGTTCTTTTATCCTTCTCTGAGCTTTTGCCTCCTCTTTTGACACTTCTTCCTTGTTTCAGGAAATTGGGACTTTCTTCTAATTTCGAAGTTTCTCACTCTGTATAAAGTTTAGTCTTTTGGTAATCATTGGATTCTAATATCTGATTGGGAGGGATTCCATTTTTACTTCCATTGTTATTCATCAGATCATATTCTGAGTTATTTCAGACACCTATAGCAATTAGCTGCTTCTTCAATGAGCTTACCTGGATCCTTATCTCTAATGTGGTTAATCTTTCAACTGCTGATCATGATGGAGAAACTTTTATCATTATTCTTTTTATTTATCTAAAATTGGGGTTCCATCTTACTTCTCTTTCTATTTCTTCTCCTCCTATGTTAAGGTCGTTATTGAGTTTGTAGAGTGTAAAATTTAAGAAATTAGGAAATGATGTGAAATTTTTGAACCACCTAGAATCATTTTGAATTTTATAAGAACAATATGAAGTGGAGTCCAATGCTAATGATTTCAGCCATAGAGGATTGATCCTGCTCTATCGTCATTGATGCTTCTAAATATTTCTGATTGGATAATTCAGAGAAAGCAAAAGTTTTCTTCTATCTCTTAAATTTTGAAGCACGATAATGGAAGAAATATGTTGTTTTCCTGTCAAATTCTAGCTGTTTTGAATGATTAAAATAAGATCTTTTAGTACCCTGAAGGCAATAATTACGTTATTTTAACTATTGGCGCTTTTAATCAGATTTATTCTAGGTGCTATTTCGTTATAGGTTAGAGGAAATATAGAGGAGAAATATTTTGTAATTTAACCTTGAATGCGATTGTGTTAAGATAAGTATTGTTCAATTTCACGGACGAGGAAACGCCAAAATTGTTCCTGTAAATTTGATTTAGAGCTGAAAATAATTCCTCTAAGCCTAAATCAAGCAGTTATGATCTTTAAGGCCATATGTATAGAATCTACAGGCAGTTTGATAAGAAAGGGTAAACTGGCTATCAAGAATTCTATCTTATATAATACTGGCGGCTTACCTTCTCATGCTCTTATTTTGCTTTGAATTTCTGATCTGGACCTCCTATAGTAATTAATAAGCAAGTTTAGGGGTACCTGTTTGGTCTCCTGCATTAGATTGCTACTTATCCTCTAGAGAATCAGCATATCAAAATTACTTCTAACATCATATTTAATTTTTATTTATTTAGGTTCAATAATAAATTATAATTAAGGGGTTTTGGGGTTTTGGGGTTTTGGGGTTTTGGGG